GCCTGGAAGACCTTTATTGGTGCGTGAGGGTCAGGGCCTGGGCTCGACCACATAGGACAGGGGCAGGGGTCAAGTGGGGACAGAGGCCAGAGGGTCACAGGCTGACGATCAGTAGTGCCTCTCCTCCCCAGACACCGTGCGCTGCACCACAGCTGCCCACCTGGCCCTGCTCGTGCCCAAGAACATCGCCTTCTACCCCAGCAACCATGAGCGCTACCTGGAGGGCCACATCGATGTGTGGTGGATTGTCCACGACGGCGGCATGCTCATGCTCTTGCCCTTCCTGTTACGCCAGCACAAGGTGGGCCAGGCGGTTGGGCCCCGGTGAGAGGGGCTGGGCCCTTGAAGGGGTGGGATGTGATTGAACCACCACCTTCTGTTGCCACAGGTCTGGAGGAAGTGCCGGATGCGCATCTTCACGGTGGCCCAGATGGACGACAACAGCATCCAGATGAAGAAGGACCTGGCTGTCTTCCTGTACCACCTGCGCCTCGAGGCGGAGGTGGAAGTGGTGGAGATGGTAAGCCACCTGCCCGACATAGCCCTGTGGATACCCTGCCCCACGTCGCGCGGTCCTCATGGCTCACCCTCTCCCCAGCATAACAGCGACATCTCTGCATATACCTACGAGCGGACACTGATGATGGAGCAGCGCTCCCAGATGCTGCGGCAGATGAGGCTGACCAAGACTGAGCGGGAGCGAGAGGTCAGTGGCCTTCTCGGTCCAGGACGGGGTCAGGCCTTGGGAGACGCCATCAGGTGGGAGCATCAGAATGATTCACCCCAGCCCCACCCATTTCCCTAAGGCTGGGTGATCACGCTGGGCCAGCCAGGCCCACCCTTTCCCATGGCACCGAGGAGACTTCCTCTGATTGTCCTCAGGCCCAGCTGGTCAAGGACCGGCACTCAGCCCTGCGGCTGGAGAGCCTGTACTCAGACGAGGAGGAAGAGTCAGCAGCTGGGACTGACAAGATCCAGATGACATGGACACGGGACAAATATATGGCAGCAGAGCCCTGGGACCCCAGCCATGCCCCCGACAACTTCCGGGAGCTGGTACATATTAAGCCGTGAGTGCAGCAGAAAGGGACCCAGCCACATCAGGGTCTGGGGTTGGAGGTGGGATGGGGGCAGACAAGCCCTGTGGGTGGGCCAGGGGCGGGGCCCGTGATCAGCTGCATTATCTTCAGGGACCAATCCAATGTGCGGCGCATGCACACGGCTGTGAAGCTCAATGAAGTCATTGTCACACGCTCCCATGACGCCCGCCTCGTCCTACTGAACATGCCCGGCCCACCCAAGAACAGCGAGGGTGATGAGAACTGTATCCCTCTGTAAAGAGGCGGGCAGTGGGGAGGTGGACAGTGTGTGAGGTCAGGCCAGGAGCTCCTCTCCCTGGGTACCCTAGGGGGTGCCAGGGCACCCAGCTCTGACTGACGGGCCAAAATTCCCTGGGTGCCCCTTGGTGCTTCCCTGGGTGCTGCCTCCTTGACTCGATGCCCTACAGACATGGAGTTCCTGGAGGTGCTGACTGAGGGCCTCGAACGGGTGCTGTTGGTCCGTGGTGGTGGCCGTGAAGTCATCACCATCTACTCCTGAGCCAGTACAGACTTGTGGCCTAGAGTGGAGGCGTCCAGGGTAACAAACAGCCCCCTCCCAGCACCCGCCCGCCAGCCCTGCTTTGCCCAGCCCTGCCCTGGACCCAGCTTTGCTAGGTCTCCTTGGAGACTGGGCCCAGACCTGGCAATGGAGGTGGATCCGAGGTCCTGCAAGACCCTGAGAGGTTTGGGGACTTCCTGTCCAGCACCCCAGGACGCCTGTCCTGACTCAGAAGACTGGTGGGGGCTGATGCGGGGTTTGAAGGCAGCTGGCCCAGGAGCGCTATTTATTGCATATTTATTGTTTGAATGTCACCATCAGAGAGGAGGGGAAGGGCGACCAGGGAGGGGTCTGGCCAAGCCGGCCTGCAGGAAGATCTGACTCAGGCTACTGTGGGCAGGGACTCCCACCAAGCCGAGCTGAATGGAACCAGCCAGCTGAAGCCTGACTTTTTCAATAAAACATTGTGTACTTCTGGGCCTCCCGCTGCCCCGGCTCTGTTTCCCCTGGCACCAAGGGAAGGAGGCGGAACTGAACCCAGGCCCAGAGCCGGCTCCCTGAGGCTGTGCCCCTTTCCGGAAATCTCTGGCCACCCCCATTGGCCAGGCTGTCCCTCCCATTGACCCTGGGGCCCCTCCCACCCCGACTCCAGATAAGGCCAGCCCAGGACTGCTTCACTGGGCACTAGGCACAAGGGCTGGAATGGGGCCGCCCGGCTCCCCGCGGCAGTGGGTCCTGCTGCTGCTGGGGCTGCTGCTTCCCCCCGCCGCCCCCTTCTGGCTCTTCAATGTGCTCTTCCCCCCGCACACCACGCCCAAGGCTGAGCTCAGTAACCACACACGGCCCGTCATCCTCGGTAAGCCCCCACCAGGCCCCTGATACACCAGAGCAGACCTTGGGGAACCTGGGCCCCAGCCCCTGGTAGCAGAGCCTGCTGAGGCCCTTCTGCCCTTGCATTAGCCCTGATCCCTGCCTCAGCATCTGGAGGGGCCAAAGGCTTGTCCTGCAGAGAAATCAACCCCTTCTCGCACCACACTGTTCTCGTGTCTCGGAGTTGTCTCCCCGAGGTGGGTGGAGTAGAGGGTGGGTGTGCCTGAGGGCTTGGCCGGGCCATTACAAGCTGTGGTCAGCTGTAGCCAACGGACCCCGGTCCAAGCCCCACCACTCCTTCCTCAGCCCCCACCCCGGCAAGGACAAGGTGCCCAGCCCAGGTGAGCAGGAGAGGCTCATCAGGTCCTGCCCCTACTCCTAGGCCCGGCCCCACTCCCTCGTACTATTTGTTCTCCCCTTGGACTTTGGCAGTGATGGAGAGCCACACTACATGTTTGCTTGATGGGGGCAGGGGTCAGCGGCCTTGGCCTCTGTACCTTCCCTGGCTGAGGGAAGCCTGGGCTTTGCGGGGACGGGGCAGGGGATGTGATCAGGAAGAGAGGATCTTGTCCTTCGTCCCTGGGGGTGGAGGGTGTGGGAGATGAAGGGGCGGGGCTGGTCACTGTAGTGTCGGGGTGGTGAGACCGGGGTGGGGTCCACTGCAGGGAAATGGGAGGGATCCAGAGTGAAGGCTGGTGCCCGCAGTGCCTGGCTGCCTGGGGAATCAGCTGGAAGCCAAGCTGGATAAACCAAATGTGGTGAACTGGATGTGCTACCGCAAGACAGACGACTTTTTCACCATCTGGCTGGATCTCAATATGTTCCTACCCGTTGGGGTAGACTGCTGGATCGATAACACCAGGTTCGTGCCATCCCCTCTGGCCTAGCCCCCGACCCTACTCCTTGGTTGCCGCTCCGCTGACTGTCCCACTGCCCCCAGGGTTGTCTATAACCGCAGCTCTGGGCGAGTATCCAATGCCCCCGGTGTACAGATCCGTGTTCCCGGCTTTGGCAAGACCTACTCTGTTGAGTATCTGGACAACAGCAAGTTGGCAGGTGTGTGTGTTGCAGGAAAGTGTGGGGCTCTAGGCTTGGTGGGCTTGCAGGAGCCACGGCCAGAACCCCCAGTGCCATTGCCTCGCCCACAGGTTACATGCACACACTGGTTCAGAACCTGGTCAACAATGGGTATGTGCGGGATGAGACGGTGCGGGCCGCCCCCTACGACTGGCGGCTGGAGCCCAGTGAGTGTCTCTGTGCATAGGGGGCTTGGGGCAGGGCAGGTGGCCCCTAGTCCCAGCTGTGCTGACCCATCCACCCCCCTGCAGGCCAGCAGGAGGAGTACTACCTGAAGCTTGCTGGGCTAGTGGAGGAAATGCACGCTACCTACAGAAGGCCTGTCTTCCTCATTGGGCACAGCCTCGGCTGCCTGCACTTGCTCTATTTCTTACTGCGCCAGCCCCAGGCCTGGAAGGACCGCTTCATCGATGGTTTCATCTCTCTTGGGGCTCCCTGGGGTGGCTCCATCAAGCCCATGATAATCTTGGCCTCAGGTGAGAGGGCCTCTGATCACTTGTGTCCCATGGGGAGGGGTGGGGGGTGGAATGAAGCTGACCGTGGGCCTGCCCTCACTCCTGTTTCTTCTCGCAATGCCAGGCTGGGGTTGTTGTCTACCACCTCTGGGGCACAGCCCCTTTCATTGGCCCTCTGAGAGCAGTGAGCCTGGCCTGGACCATTAGAGTGTCTCCTGACAGTGTCTCAGCGATGACAAAGGGGAAGTAAACAAAGAGGAAGTTAACCCCAGCAATCTGACTCATTGCTGAGGTCTGTTCCTTGTAGCCTCAGGTCCTACCCACTCAGCTTTCAGCTGCCTTCTGCTCCCAGGAGCCCCTTTGCCCAGGGATCTGCCCTAAGCCAGGGCCAGACCCCGGGAGCCCCTCTTGCCCTTCCCCAAGGAGTGGCATAGCTACCACCTGCGGAGCACCCACTGTATTCTGAGCACAGCCAGACATGGCCTTACCCCTAGAAGCTTAAGTGAAGGAAACACTCCCCAGACTATATCAATGAGTGTCAAACAGAGATTGGTCTCATTTCATTCTTCCCAGAACACAGCTCTGAGCCCTGTGCAGCACAGGCCACAGGGGCCGACAGACACTTGCCTGAGAGAACTGCTAGCACCATCCCCCACTGTTCACACACACAGGAAACCCCTCCCTGCCCTCCTGTTGAAGCTCTAGAGCTCTGCCTCACAGAGGTGCCACTAGGGCTTCTCACTCAACAAGTACACATGGAGCACCTCCTGAATGCCAGGCCGGTTCTAGTCCATGACTTGGAGTTGATGTTTTTTTGTTTTTTTGGTTTTTTTTTTGCCTTTGCCAAAATAAGATTTTATTTTAAAGTCATTTGAAAAACACAGAGCAAGGAAAGAGACCTAAGACTGAATGGATGTAGAATGGATATTCTTTCCTACCTCCACCAGTGGTCTTTTGTCATGCCAAAAAGTTGCTTTCTTTGGTAATTCCTATTTATTTTTAGCTTCCCGGAGAAGAGATCTTTTCCCATAAGCCATCTTCATTTTTTTTGTAGAGCAGAGCCTTATTTCCAAGAAACAGCGTGTTAGCCGGAGAAGGGTATTTCTTTAAAAACATCAAGGTAGATCTAATATGTTTAACAAAGTGGGGGGGCTCCGCCAGAGGTGACGTGGAAAGGTTCTCTAGTATTTGCTTATCATCTTGCTGCAACCAGAAATCCACATGGGGAAATGGCATCCAGGAATATGGTCCTATACGAAGTTGTTCTGTCTCTGCATCGTAAATACTAATCATTGGTCCTCCTGTTAAAGCTCGTGTGGCCCGTAGCTCCTCCTCCGGACCTCGGTCTTGGAAGGAGGCTCTGTAGATCTCCGAGGTTTTGATGTTGACAGCAATGCCATAAATTACTGGAAAGTGGTTTTCATTTTCTTCCTGGTCATTTAATTCCGTCACACATAATGTCACCAAGTGAATGTCATCTTCCTGTCTGTCAAATTCACTAAGAAGCTGATGAGTCAGTTTTTGTGACAACTGCCTGTCATCACTGAAGCCGCCCACGAGGTGCACTTCCAGCCTTCCACATTGAGTGTGGTCGGAAAAGGATTTTATGGAGTTCATGATCAAGGGGACCTCAGCTTTGGTGTCAGTTCCGTCACAATGTGTCAAGCAGGTGGCCCCATTACCTCCAGAAGCGGGTGGGCTCGGACGAGGTCCCCAGCGGACTGCGGCAGCCTCACTCGCCGCCCCTCCACGAGCAGCGGCATCGCGGAGGCAGCCGCCCCGGCAGGCCCAGGGAGGCGGCGGCCTCCTCCGGAGTTGATGTTTGGAGTGGGCAAGACAAAGTTGAGCGTCCAGCTGAGCTTGGGCTGGGGGGCAAGTTGTGGGCCGGGGGTAGCCAGGACTGGCTCCCTGCCCTACCTTGCTCTGTGTCCACAGGTGACAACCAGGGCATCCCAATCATGTCCAGCATCAAGCTGAAAGAGGAGCAGCGCATGACAACAGCGTCCCCCTGGATGTTTCCCTCCAGCCAGGCATGGCCCGAGGACCACGTGTTCATTTCCACCCCCACCTTCAACTACACAAGCCGTGACTTGCAGCGCTTCTTTACAGACCTGCACTTTGAGGAAGGCTGGTACATGTGGTTACAGTCACGTGACCTGCTGGCAGGGCTCCCAGCACCTGGAGTGGAAGTATACTGTCTGTATGGCGTGGGCCTGCCCACACCCAGCACCTACATCTTTGACCATGGCTTCCCGTACACAGACCCTGTGGGTGTGCTCTACGAGGACGGGGATGACACCGTGGCCACGCGCAGCACTGAGCTCTGTGCCCAGTGGCAGGGCCTCCAACAGCAGCCTGTGCACCTGCTGCCTCTGCCTGGGATACAGCACCTCAATATGGTCTTCAGCAACCAGACACTGGAACACATTAATGCCATCCTGCTGGGTACCTACCGAAATAGCACCGCCGTACCCCCAACTGCCAGCCCAAGGCCCATGCCCCCTGAATAAAGACCTTCCTTTGCTGCTGTAACCCCTGACGTGTGTTATGGGTTCAGGGAAACTCACACCAGGATTCACACCAGGATTCATTCACCTGCAGACCTGGTGCTTTGTGGAGCATAGGGCAAGAAGAGCTTTGCTAGAGCCTGGGATTGAATTGGGCACCTTGAGATATACAGCTTCCCACTCTTCTGGTTGAGCTATTTAAGCAGCCTCTCCGTGCCTGCCTCTGCTCTGAGCCTCTGCTCTGAGCCTCTGCTATGAGAACATGGGGAGTGAAGGGAGCTGCACACACAGCTGTAGAATAGGGGGTACGTGGAGCCTAGGGTACAGGATGGAGAAGATCTGAGCTGCCCCTCCTAGCTCCCAAAAGGGCAGGTGAGACCCCACAAGAGTTTAGCATCTAGGAGAGTGACGGCCACTAAATAGGTCATTTCAATTCTGAAGATTTAATTAATGGAGCTAAGTGATCTGAGAGAAAAGTTTAGGGAGGAACAAGGTGGTGATTCTTGTGGGTCAGGGAAGGCTTCCCAGAGGAGGTGGTGCCTGTGCTGAGATCAGATGGAATGAGAAGGGTAACTGTAAAGACTGGTTTCAACCTAAGAGCAGCATGCAGCTGATACAGGGTTTAACCAGG